TCCCATAAACGACCTCGCTAGTACTGAGCAAACTGGCGTATGAAGTTTTGATCTACACATGTTACTCACTGGAACCTTCCCTCACCAATACCCTCTTTTCCAACCATCTCGACAACTTCTTTACTAAAAAATGCTGCAATGTTTAAACTGGTGTGATGACGCCCGACGATATCTCGCCTTCAGAAGCACTGAATGTGTGATTTTAATGTGAGAAGGAAATTTGGGTACGCATCTTGTTAAGAAGCATTAGTGCCGTGTAAGCAGGACCTCCTTCGATGTTCTACTTCCCGGTCAATGCGGCAAAGACTAAATATCTTAGTAGGATTAAAGGAGAGGCAAGTGTGAGCAGAAATGGGTTTAGGATTCAGACTGTGGAGTATTTGCGTAGCAGCGGCGTCTGACACTCAAACTAAACTAACTTTTGTTATGGAATCGGGTGCATGAAAAGGGGTCGTATCGGAATTCCCGTTGAGTGGGGGGTCCTAAAAAAGCGATCATTTCCTCGACACGATTTTTGCCCTGCTCACGGGGTGACGTGCGACGGATTGCACATACCCAAGCAATGCTCCAAGTTCTACTCTGTGCGTAATTTAATTTTTGCGATCGATCGATTGATTCTGACATTTGTAGTGCTATCATCACATACAAGATTTAGATATCCCAATGGTGCACCGGGTTCGACTCGTTACGAATGGAGGTGGAACTCTTCAGATCCAAAGTCCAATCAGAATATTGCGCTAATCACCCGCATAATGAAAATCTACATGGTTTGCTTCATAGTGGTCGCGTTGGTTCAAATATTTACAGAGTAAGTTTTTTTTTCATCTTGGAGAATTTTTTGAGCCGTAGCATATTCAGCCGGTGTATAATCTTTACTCTAACGTGGGGATAGACTGGGCGTCTCCAGCTCAATTATTCATCAAATCCCTGAAGTTCTTACTCCCGTTCCATCAGAAGTGCAACGTCGATTCCACTCGATACGGTATCACTCATCCGTGAAGTTACCACACCACCTTTTCGTCAGATCCGAGTTAACTCTTCTGTAGATCAGAATGGACTTCAGATTGTGTTCACCATCCAGCTACACTTATTATCCAGTTCACCCGAGCATGAAGTGAAGGAATCCCCGTAAAAGTGGGAAGGAGTAGTGATTTTGAAGATTTTTTTTTCAAGAAAATTGTGAACGCGATCAATTCCTACATTTGGGGAAGCAGTCGCTAGTGAAGGCCTCTCCGTCATGTACCACAACTTCATTTGAACTGTATCGGAAATTGCCTTATTATATCTCCCATTTCTGAAATGTTTATGGGTTTGAATATCAAATTGAGTTTAGCTGTAGTTTAGCCATCTATGACATGGAAATTTCAGGACCCTGTTCACTGTCAAAAGAAGACCACACGGAACTTGGGAAGAAAGAAATACAGCAGCATCCAAGGAGCAAACACCAAATACTTCCTTCAATTACATGATGCAGCCACCAGCTTCGGGTAGCGATGGCTGGAGTGATATTGTCTCTGGTTCCCCTTCGAACTCCGAGGTCCTCGATTCTGCATTGATTACAAGGTCCTCCCAATAATCTTATGGGGTGTGACATGCATAGGATAAAACTAGGTTGAAAACTCACGCTGCGATTAGAAATTGTATAGACTTCTCCCTCCAAATGCCTTCATATCCACTGAGTGTGGAACGAAATCACCTCATGGGTCACAAGATGTGTTAAAGGAAGCGATTACGATGAAGAAAGCGCGCATCGGGGAAATGTATGCACCCACGAAGCAGCAACTTGAGTGCCAAGGATGCGAACTGTGAAGCTTGCACGAGGGAAGGTGCGCTGGTTGCTGAACAGTATTTGAAAAGCCCCCCCCCCTCAAAAAAAAAAAAGACGTTTTTGCCCACCAGAATTAGTTAGTAATTCGGACGAGATGTATTGCCAGCACAACTGGAACAACTCGACTAGAGTATGGCTTGGCATGGTGCCACCTATGTGCTACCATAAACTCGTCCATACGCTTGTCTCAGCCGTTGCCCGTCCATGAGCGAAAATCCAATGGACAATTATGTGGGCCCTGTGTTCTGCTTTTTCTTAACGGTTTTCTCTTTTTCTTTGCCACCATCCTACCGTCGAGCACCCCCATGTCCCCGGTAAACCCCTCCAAAACTATCGTAATCGCTCCCTTTAAGAACAAGTGGGTGTCAGGGAGGTGTGATGAGAAATTAGTGTATTTATGTGAATTAATCTGGAAGACCGACCAATTTAATTGTTACAGTTTCTGCCGCGTTTTTAACGAGATGGTACTTTAGAAATTACAGTCTTTGTTTTAAATTAATATTACGGTGTCCTGAGACAAGAAAAAAATGTTAGACGGTTGTTTCCTGGTGCTTCGCTTTTTTTTTACTAGGATACAATTTATCGAAGTTCTGATGAATTCATAGCACGAAATCCTCTAGAAATTTCTTTTTTTAGGAATTGTACTACCGCTGTTGTTGTTCCAATTCCTAAAAGTTGATGCCGAAACACCATCGAAATATAATATTGTAGCGAATTTGCCCTATGCACAAAATCCTGTAATGTGTCTTCGGTAAGGTTTTAAGGCGGTACAGAGACCAGAAAAAAACGAGAGAGGAGTAGATACAGTGTGAGCGCCGAGTAGACCCGAAATGAGCGCAGCATACTGAAAATGTAGTAATTGTACCGAAGACCGTGAACTTTCCAAAGCGGTTAGAGAGAAAACTTACTGGTTTATGGGCCGAACAACGATGGTTACAAAGATTGATGGAACTTGGGAGTGTGAACGGCGCGAGCTTACATAATCGAAAACACAAAATTCCCACAGTACAGAAAGAAGGCGGTGGCTGGTAAAAAGGAGAAAAAGCGACAGAAGGAGGCGAAATTGGTTTACCAATGCGAATGGTCAGCACAAGGCTGTGTTGACTTTCTTGCCAGTGTAGATCTATGAGGACAATCACAGATGTTGCACTGCCTTGCATGAAATCTCCCATCCAGGGCTGCAGGGCTTTGCAAAGTTAGCTGCAGCAGCTGCAATAGTCCCCGTCCGCACAAGGGTGTTGTCTGACGTCCTCTCATCTATTGCGCTTCCTCGCCTATGGCCTCGCGCCTTTCCGCGCTACGAGTCTCTAACTGCCCTAGCACAGCCGCATCACGAAAGTGTGTAAGCCTTTACCCTGAGCGTTTTCAACAGATTGTGGGACAGACGCAGGGATGGCTGTAACAAGAAATTTTAACATATGATACGCGGTCGAATTACTGGATGTTAAAATCACTACAGAAAGTTCATTCAAGATAAAGATTTCAATTATTATTACAACAGTACCCTAATTCCATTAACAGCTAGTGCACTAGCCAGGCCGACTGTTTTCGGGAAAACTAGCTAGGAAACTAACTAAGAATTTGATTAGTTCACTAGAAGATGAATACGAAACTAAGAATTCTGAGCAACTAAGCATGATACAAAAATACTACCTAAACAGTTTAATGCCTAATGAACATGAAATACCAGCATTTACGGAGAAAAGGGAGATGAGCAAAAACAATAGAATAAAATTTGCAACAATCAGCTATAAAACAAATTGGTAGCACAAAGTTCCTAGGAGATGCAAAAAGCCTCTCCTAGGTGTACCCTTAAATATACTACTACTTCTACAACTAATACTCGAACAGTCAGCAAATCTTAACATTTTCAACACTCAACAGTTTCCTTAATAGCAACATTACCTAACACTCACTTTCGGAAAAGAGAGTAATTCGAAAATTGGAAACTGTCTTGCTGCCGGTCGCCATCATAATTTCTCCATAAAAAAAGTACAATTCCTATTTTTTCGGTTGCTTTTCTTCTTCATAACCGTAGCCTATTTGAATAGCTTCCGGGAAAGTGACATGACACCTGAACACAACTAAGAATGAATCTTATTATCACCAAAACTGATGAGGGCAAATGCAGACCATAGAGGGATTCGATGAAAAGCTTGAGTTCAGGCTTCAACTTGCGCTCTGCTAACCGTGAATCAATGCGTACGCAGAGCATTTGAGGACCCTTATAGACGCAGTTTCAACACTTTCTCCGGGAAGCGAGACGGTATTGGTGTAATGGATGAGCAGTGTGGTTTTTTCCGAACCCAGCGAAGACTGTGAACAATGGGGTTATCACTGATGAACCCATGAAAGAACTCATGCCGCTTTTCGAAGGAGTGCTCGTTTGATTTATACATTGCAATGTCCTGCGCTTCCCAGAAGAATAAACTGCATGAAGACGACCAATTTTGAGAAAGAATGCTCAAGTTTTCCTACTCAAAAAGCTGTACGGCAAACGCGCACTCATTGCAGAGCAATACTTATCTACGTAGAGAGCTGTCTGCTTCGCCAATGAAAAAGAAGATATGAAAAGATCTGCTGATTTGTGGAAGGAGAATGTGGACGATGGACCAGGCTGGGAACAAAATTCAACAAAAATGACAAAAAAAACCATACCTGGGTAATGCCAGCTTCAGCTGGCGAAGAAACGACTGTCTGTTTGCGACATACGGCAGGAAATAAAAATGTGCACGCCTCAAGGCTTTTAGTCTACTTAACCAATATACTGCTCCATCCGTCACCGCAGGATTTAGGACGATCTCCTTCAAATATAAACATTGCCCAGTAACTTGGTGATAACCAAAATTGGTACCTTATAAACTCACAATATCACGAAGACTGTTTGCTGGCCTTCCCATCGCTAGCTCCCTGATTGCGTCATCACCAAAATAATCGCAGAAGTTCAATTTTAGCACTTCGAGACGTTTCAGGTCACTGAAGTATTTAAAGCCCTCGTCAGAAATAGCCGAGTCACTTGCATCGACCTAAAAAGCATGAAACTTTCGCCAATCAATGATACACTTATATGGAAAATAGTAAAAAATGATAGAAACGCACGCCCGCCCGCATATACCTTCACTATGTGCACCGGTGGAATATGGCTCCATTTCAGCTCGTACTCCAAGTCAACGAAGGGCGACTTTATTTTTCCTTGAGAAACCTTCTGAAGGATACAAAGTAGAACTGTGGTGTGAACCACACTGTCTCACAATGGTACGATGATGGGGTTCAATGAATGCGATGTGACATTCTAAGGCGCGTATTGAACTCTAATCACCAGACATGCCTTTTGTATCTTCTGAACGTATGACGCATGCGCACTGTTTTTGATCACATTACAAACTCTATTGATCAAATTGCTTTTCCAATTTCTCCGCAGGACGCGTCATACGATTTAGCCGTTGGACCAGAGCGGTTACCGACTGGATCCCTCGGGACGTCAAACGAACACCTGGACGACCGCCGGCCCGATGGTCAGACTTCTTCACGAAAGCTCTGAACGAAAGGAATGAAGGACTTCGTGTCCCTCGAGCGAGGAGGATCCACTGGACCAACTCTAGCACGCGACAGGGACGAATGGAGACGTTGCTGGCGCCCGCTCGAGCAAATCGATGATCAACGGGACGACAGGTAATACACCTCCTCCAGGCTATGTATGCCTCAAACCTCTCCGTAATCGGTAAACTGGTACCACTAGCTGTGGTACTTCCATGCCAAGTCAAAAGAACACTTTTCTTTGAAGCCGCAGTTCAAAAAAAAACTATTGACATGAGGGTTCAATAAAAAAGCACTAATGCACTCAACATTGATCAGTAGCATTCCGGAATGGGCCATCCACTCCCTTCCATTCTGTTTAGAGGCACTTACGTATTTGGGCTTTAGATTGGCTTTCGGCACTTGACTATTACAGTCTTTTATTCTCCCAAAAATGTTCCAATCAATCAACATCATTCGGATGCAAAGCGATGCCTAGAACATGAGGTTGAGGATGACTCCGCAAGAGCCCAAGTTCGTTCCAATAAGGAGATGAGAACATATTTCTCTATGCACACTTCGCTAGTTACTACAGGAACGGCTTCTGAAGCAGAATCAGTTTTCGTATGATCACAACTGGTCCCCAATCACACTATTTCCGACTGAATCGTCTACCAAAATATCTAGGCTCACCTTTTCTTCCAGCTTGTCCTTGATATATTTTTTCATTTTACGAATCGATGTTATTCGTTCATCATCGCTCATGATTACCTAAACGGTTGAAACTGATCGTACTTATGATCATTAATATCTGGAACAAACCTCCGTTGATCCACATTCCATCAACCATTCTAAACACGCAAGATCTGGCCCTATTTCCTTTACGCGTTGCTCATGGAAACTGAATGATACATTCACGTTGCATTTGAAATGGTGAATTGAAGCTTATCTTATTGACTAACTTGTTTGAGAAGTATTCTGCTATTCGGCGTCGTATACTATAAATCTTGAAAGCAGAGAAGCTATATTTTGTGCGCACGTGCGTACCTGGGACTGAAAGGGCCTGAAAAGCAAAATAAAGGGGGGATGTACATTCGTGGTGTAGGATCCTAGCTTCTCAAAAAAGAATGTTCTCACCAAACGGGCAAAAGATGAACTCACCCCAATGAAACGATTAGTACTGCATAAGAGAACGCTCCGCCCAATGCTGCGTCCGGCTGGAATCATTGGTAGGAGAAAATGCTCCTCTACTATTGCCTTGTATCCGATCCAATCATTCTATAGATTTGAAAATTACCATATTTTTGAGAGATTCTGAACAATAACGAGAAGACAATCAATAGCAATGTCACGTTAACTAGACCAAGATGCTCACGAAAGATTTCAAACAAATTTATTTTCAAGGTAACAACAGAAAATCAACAATAAAAGGTGAGTTGTAAAATTACCCGTTTTCTTTCAACCTTTCAACTTCAAAACAACATTTAATCAAAGGATCTATAAGTCATTTTAACATCTGAATCACAGCAGCTATTGATACAAAAACCGAGTTAATTACTAAGTTTGCTCTTTTTACTCGAATCAGAGTCGTTCTCATTCTCCATGTGACACCTCTTCAAAGTACTGTCGATTTCTCTATGAACCAATAAATTCCAAGACAATGTCATCTGGACACAAAACATCTCCTTGCGGGAAGAGACTGTACGCACCTGAAGAAAGTCCACCTTTGCCGTTTGAAAAAGTGGACAAAGGAAGAGACCTACATGGTGAATCAAATCCACTTGGGCTTCATCTTCGCTCAGGAATTCCCTAACCATCTCTAGAGCTCGCTTCTTGTACCAGTCATCATGTACATCCTCGTGTGCCTGAAGATAGAGACGTGCGAGATTTTATACATTCCGACGTTCAAATTCAAGAACTACGTTGCTCACTTTCATTCCCTTTGCTCAACACCTAAATTTGCTTAGGTGATTCTGTAGGAAAAACCTTACTTACGTATAAAGATAGGGGTTGACACAGTATTCCGATAAATCCTCTTAATATAGTGTGAGCTGAGTTGTAGAAATGAACGGGAGAAGATGCGGTACACAAGATTGTACCCATTGTAGTGAACCTCTCCAGCAACAGTTTCACTAATACGTTGTCCATCTACTGCTACTTATGACCTGGAGCCACCGAATGCCCCACAGATGGGAAACCCAGGTTACGCTCGGCTTCCCCGCCTTGTATAGCTCCTCCAAAAATGTTTTCCAACGTGGCGGCTCAGGAAAAGAGTGCTAGCACCTCTGCGAGCACATATGCCTTTGAAAAAGGGAAATATGTAAGGCAAATGATTCCGAAACCCTTTTCCCTAAGTACCCTCTATCGAGAAAAATCTGCGAAATAACCCTAAACTTTTCTCAAACCATTTCTTCGTTAAAGCTCTCGTGTAAACTTATAACGCCACCAAAAATCCATAACAAATCCCACTTACCTTCGCAAATAAGTAGCAATACACTTTCACAGGAAAAGTGCTTGACGCATCTGCAGAGAAATGCTGTGCCAACACTCCTCGAAACGAGGGAAGAAAATTGACAGCGTAACCCGGAAGATTCAGCATCACATGCGCTCCTGACGGTGAGTTTTCTGATGTTTGAGCATCACTGATGGCCTAGAGTGAGGCACGTTTAGAGTTTTCAAACGGTATACTCAATACAAGTCCAAATCTACGGTCAATAGAAGTCATCTGTGCACCTCATGCAATCCCAATGATCTCTATTGGGCCGATGTCAGACTTTGCGAACTCGAATTGACCATTGGCGTGCATACGCTAAGCCAGATGCGGGTACGAGGCAATGCATCAGCGATATAACCGATGTGCTAGCGGAACGGATTTCTGGCACCAAAGCGGTTCTAACGCATAATCGCGGACTCGACAGGGTATGAAAGTGGCGCGAGCCTCTCTCATGTACAGGTTAACTCTCGTCACTTTCTCGGGCTCACAAGGGCGTGAGAGAGCGAGAGAGCATCAGAGAACGGGAAAGTGGCGAGAGTGACGTGTACATGAGAGCCGCTGGTGCATAATTCGACTCGCTGGCACATCGTTCGAATCGCTGGTGCATTACTTGCACGATTCGCTAACAATTCGCAGGATTCGCAGTCTGACATCGGCATATTACTGAGCGAAATTACTGATGTAAAATAAACATATCCCTTCTTAAGAACTACGAATGGTGAAAAATACAATATATTTTCAATTCGAAAACTTACTTGACTCAAGTCTTCCGCAAATGGACCACGAATGAAAGCAACGGCGTCTAGGTTGTGGACTTGTAACATTGCAGAAGGAACCTGCAAGACAAAAAACGCCGTTCTTATCTGGCTATAAGTAGGGAGGTAGACAACTTAAATGAAGACACATGGAATGGTTCACCTATATGGAGAGGGCCCCTAGTTTTCGAAAGCATACCGTTGTTCAACATATAGCATTTTCCTTCAGCCATACGCACCCACTCTCCGGATTGAGATCGTTCGCTAACGCGTGCAAAGCGCGCCCTTTCTTTATTGCTGGCAAGACAAATGGACCGACTCCAGCGCAAGCGTCGTAAACTAAATAAAGCAAAGATGTGAAAGCCGCGTCAATATTAACAAACGACGGAGTGAATTTGTTGTTCGAATAAACAAAAATGAATTTACGAATGAGTACGCATACCTAAAGAGCGGGAATCAAACAGCTTCACTACCCTTTCATGTCGTGGCTGAGACGAGAATTCCAAAAGACCTGGAAAAGAACATTTTAGACGAAAATTCATGCGCTAGACTCGCCAACAGCTCAATTGAAAAAAAAACTCCAAATACTCACATTATTGGAAAAATGCACACTTGTCTGCCCTTTACGGAATATTCAAAAAACAAGATGACTCCCACCAATCGGGATGATGGAAGAAAAGGATGAACAGAGTCAGCAGCAAAAATAATGGAAACTTCAAATAAGTTCGAGTTCATATACAAAGAGAGCGCAGTACCTTGGAGAAATCGAGTCGATATCTCACACCTCCTTCGAGAGTCTCTGTAACATAGTCTTCTTCGCCTGCTAAGAGATCTAACTCAAAATTCCGATACTCGCTCTTGATCCCATCAATTTTGTTCACAACAGTTCTGAATAGAATCATGAATAGGAAAAGTGGGAAGAGAGCTTCGATGAATCATGAAAAGCAAAAAGGTAGTGCGGTAATCACACATTAACATACAAAAAATACTTCTAACAGCAGATCGTCAGGAATTCACCCTTAACAAGTAATTTAGACAGTTTAACAGACTCCACAAGAGTTGAATTATGAATTTCTGTATAAGCCCAGTACTTCATCGAAATCCACACTTTTTTGGCAATACAGCGCTTTCTCAGCATTTTAGTGGTCTCAACAATGACTGGTCGAAGAACCTTCCTTTATACGATTTCAACGTAATATTAATGAAACGAAAAAAGAAGGCAACGATAATTGAACCGCAACAGCAAAAATAAAGCACCGCATACCTAACGACCCCAGCCAAGGGCCGTTTCCCAAAGTGCGGCTTAAAAGGGATGTGAAACAGAAGCATCAACGTGATAGCTTTACAATAGATTCCATCACTGAGTGAAAAATTCTTAATTCTTTCATTTAAAATTATTTACAGTTTCTTGAGCCCCATAATTTCAAATCTAGATTTAACCTAAACAAGGGCTTCCCGAAAAGTTACCAGAAAGCTTTGGGGAACAAAAACTTCATTTTACTCTGAATCTTTTGAGTCAGACCATTCTATTAGAAGGGGAACGCTTCAATCTTGCCCTCATCTTTGACATGAGCCATCAAACAACAGTACAATTAATAACGCTAACGAACACTCACCTGCATTTTGAGACTTTTTCAAGTAGAATTTGACCGATAATCCTTTATATGGAACAAATTCTCAGCGGCAAAAATTACATGAACGATAATGGGCCGGCTTGGCTGAAGCTACTAAAATACAGAACGATACTGCTCATTCTTCCAGTTCATGAAGAACACATGGACGGAGAACTCAAAAGAATAACTCTACTCTTCTAATCTTCATCTAATATTAACTTCATGAGGCAATAGCAATAACTGAAGAGACTCTAGAAAAGGAATCACTGGATATACCTGATTTCAAGATCGCTTGGAAGGACTGCTTTCAAAATTCCTTCGTAGATCCCAGTCTTGAAAAGTTATTGATAAGGTGATAGGTTCCCACTGCAGCGTGATGTCTGAAAGAACTTCAAAGAAAAAAATTCGCTAGTAGAGAGAAGTGAGGTAGCTCACCACCAGTATGCTCTTTGATCATAGATTCAATTTGGGACTTCAACTCCAATGAGTTTTCCTGTACGACATTAGGATCGAACACGAACAGCTTATACTTCGAATCATCCGCGTTCATAATATTCTGAAACTACTGTAGACTAAACCATTCCAGAATAGTACTGCTCGATCCAGGGGATTACTCTATGAAGAAGGAGCATGTAGTGCCACACTTCGTGACCGCGA